AAAAATACCGCTAATAAAAAATAAAGTAATTCGTAATAACCGCTGTGGTCAACGAAAACACCTTGGTTGTTTCTGTTTCTTTTTGTTTTCTCTCTTTCGTTTGATTAGTACCATTTTGTTACAACATAATTAAACAAACAAAAATATGCGCGTCTGTGTATGTACAAGCAATATAATGAAGCTAGAAGCCATGCGGTCAAAATCGCGAGTGTTTTCATGACGTCCAAACTCCGTGAAAGTTTGTTTACTAGTTTTTAAAGGACGAAAACACTGCTCGTTTCGCTTTCAAAAGCGCGCCTGTGATTGGCTGTCGGCACTTGTCAATCACGTACGTGGGCGGTGTCAGGTGACATATAGTGAGTTCCAGTAAGCGCACTTCAGAGTTTTGCTACACAGACATTCAACAAGCGACAGCAACAAGACTATCACATAATACTGGACTGGACTGGATTACAAAACTTTATAACAACACCAATCTGATGCCGTTCTAGCCACGTTGTGACTTTTCAGTCGTTTCCAATGTAACCAAGTCAGTTTAAAGTAACTGCATTTTCTTTCTGTTTGTTCTTTCGCGTTTCACGTCATATTTTCTTTTGACTGTCATATGTGACATTTTAAGACACAAACAGTATTGCTGGTACCATGGCTGACGCAGCCCAAAACCAGATGGTCGAGATCGACCCGGACTTCGAGCCGCTCTCCAGACCCCGCTCCTGTACTTGGCCGCTGCCGCGTCCGGAGTTCCCCAACCCCGCCGCCGCCGACTCCAACACATCGTCCCCGGCTCCGTCCGTCAAGCAGGAGCCCTCCAGCAACACGGACTTTATCAACAACCTCAGTTTGCTGGAAGAGAATGAGGACTACCCAGATCAGAAGCCGCTCGTGCTGTGCGGCGATTTCCAATGCCAGGAGAACTGCATCCACCAGCAGCAAATCCCGAGCCGCCAGCAACAGGTGCCTGTGCTCTCCTCTCCGGTGGCCGCCGCCGCTGCAGCCGCGGCAGCCGCTCAGCGCAAGAGCAGCTCGTCCAGACGCAACGCCTGGGGAAATATGTCATACGCGGACCTGATTACCAAAGCCATCGAGAGCTCCCCCGAAAAACGGCTCACCTTGTCTCAGGTCTACGACTGGATGGTGAAAAACGTCCCTTATTTTAAGGACAAGGGGGATAGTAACAGCTCCGCTGGTTGGAAGGTATTTATGTTTTCAGTTTTGGTCTGTACACTCGTGCGTCAGTCGGTTGCACCTTGTGTTTTGGGTTTTTACGCCAAACAGTTCAACTTCTATAAACGCGTCTTGGTTACCATGGTTCCCATTCAGATGCGCTCCCATTCAGCTGTTATGAAAACAAAACCGCGTCTTGTGTGAACGCCCCCGCGTCATGCGAACTTTTGGATTTTGCTTAGTTGGTATTCTTGCTGTCCCGTGTGACCTAATTACTTAGTTGAGTTGCTGATTATTATGCATCCTTCACTTATTGTTTTAGGAGTGTCACGGGATTGTCAACAGTCTGCATTCATTGTCGTGTAGGACAGATGATTGCCTCTAGTTACATGCAGGACATGGCGAGGTGGTGCACTGCAGTCAATAGTTCAAGTGCTGACCCATGTCACATGACAGGTCCCGAGTAACAAGTGTTTTATAGATGCCTGCTGACAGCAAAGACTTCTAGGATCTTTCCACATTTCCAGGTGGAACTCGTTGGAGTTGAAGTTAGGACAAGACAAAAACTTGGACCCAGTTCAAATACCAGACCCCTAAGTGCCAGACCACTACAAAACCCCCTAAAGGTCTGGTCACATTAGCGAAATTTTGTGGGATAAAAGACGATTTGTCTATTGTCAATGAAGTCTGACGCACAGCTCAGACAGATATCACTTTACCAAGCACACAGTGAATTCATATGACTAGCATATGACACTGTATTTCACCTGCAAAATTTGCATAACAATGGTAAATGTGACCACAGCTTGAGGTTGGGGACTAATAAAAGAAACCCGGCCTAAAACAATACAAGACCCCTCAAGGCCCAGATACAGACTAAAGGCCCGTTCACACCAAGAACGATAACTATAAATATATAACTATAAAGACGATATTAGCGTCCACACCAGCGAGCGATATCGTCTGTTTATTCTAAGCGCATGCTCGTCTGCCGCTTTAAATTCTCGAGCTCGTGACAGCAGGATTGAATCTGATTGGCTGTCAATATTTTTATCGATAAAAATCGTTCTGAAAGTGATTCCAGCGATATCGTTTCTCTGTGCCTTTATCGTTATTGTTGTGGTGTGGACTCTGCTATTCTTTAATATTGAGAACGATTTTTAGAACTATATCTTTATCGTTATCGTTCTTGGTGTGAACGGGGCTTTAGACTAGCACTGAGAAAATGCTGCATTTATCCAACACACTCATGAAAATTCATACCTTTTTATCTATTTTTGGCAAATTGGTGGCTATTATTAATTTGTAATAATCTCAGCTGTACTTTTTCATACTATCTGCCCACTGGTGGTTAGATTTAGGGGTGAACCTTCATATATATTTTTTAAAAACTGTATAAAAACTGTACAAATTCATATAAAATCATCACCTCGTAACTAAAATAGTTGTTTTCTCATCAGATTGGGATGAATTTATTGCAACATTCCTTAATCAAGAGAATCAGGTTTTCACCTTATTTTCATTTTTCCAAAAAGAGAAATTCCATTATAGGAAATAAATGTTATATTAATTGATTTAATTAACTGAATAAGCATTGTAAATTAAAAAAAAAAAAAGTTTAAATGGGTTAAATAAAGTTTTGAGGTCATGAAAAGACAAGCAAGAGGTTGAGGTTTTTCGTACATTCGAAGAAGAGTTCAACGTAAGTGTGTCACAGATCCATAAGACTGAGCTTTGGTCATGTTTATGTGTCATGAAGATCAAGACGTCAAACACTAGCACAAGATACGTGATCAGGTGGATACTAATAAATCAGTTCTGGTGACACGCTGTCTCACGTTGTTGTACCACCGGTATGCCTGAACCACCCTGGCAACCGGAGAAACAGGAAAACAGTGCTTTTTATATCCATGGAAACCTCTTCGTTAAGTGGATCCAAAGTTGTGTTGTTAGGTGTAGTGCATCATCACACCGCACGCTATTAATATCCGCAGGATTAACTGTCAATACCCCCCTGATGTTTGCCAAGTATGCAAGCATGGCGGTCTACGCATGCAAGGAAAGATCCGCTCCACCCTCTGATTTATTGTGTGTCTGTGTGCCAGCATTCCACAATTATCATGCTTTTGTGCGTCCGTTGGGGAGGCGTATATGAACTGATGACTGAATGCATTTGGAAACGGGCGCGTTTAACCTCTCTTACCTCTGATGACACATAATTCTTAGTAGCACGGGCAGCTCTCAGCACCTTTCCCACTCTTTATCGGAAGCACATCTGATAAACCCAATGTCAAATCATGTGTGTGTTTGTTTTGTGGTAGTAAAACAGATATGATCTGTGCTGTGATTGGATGATCAGTATGTGTGACTCATAATGGGGCAATGTTTTTGAGAACCACAGGAAATTTCCCGCAGGAACTGTTCAATTTTATTCTGATCTCATAAACAATGTGGCGCTGGTAATGATCAGTTAAAGGTTCCCTCGGGGGCACAGCTTCTGTCACTCCAAACCAATATGCTGAAACGAAGGAGAGGCTAAGTTTGAAAATCATCGGTTTTGAATTGTTTTAACAACCAGACAAGTACATAATTTCATCTGAGGTTGTTTTGTTGGCGAATGGCTATTATATATTTAAGATATTATTATTATTACTATTATTGTTATTATTATCAGTCGTAATAGTAGTATCTTAAAAACAATTTTATATTTAATTATTAAATTATTGCATTATAAAATATATTTTATAAAATAATAATTTTTTTTACATATAACAAAAATACATTGAGAATAAGACTTAATTTTTTTTTATTAAATAAGAGACTGCATGGTTTATTTGTACTTTTAAAATTTATTTGTCGTATTGCATGACTAGTGAAATCAAAAACATTGATTACAATTTGTGGAAAACTTTCTCTTATGAAAAATCCATATGAATTTTAATCCAAAATCTTGATGAAGAATGTAACTTGTAAGCTGTAACATGTTGGCAGGCACCTTTCTCCAGGCAGTCTGTTCTCTTGGGGAAGACACAGGGCACTTTACTTTTTGCCAGCTTTGTTTTCTCCAGAGAGCTGGTAGTCACACAGAGAAAAAAGCAAGGGTGAGAGGGGGAGAAATCTATCATTGCTGCTCCTTGCACGCTCTGATCGTGACAAGAGAATTGAATCTTTGACAGCCCTAACACCCCCCAATCAACCCTCAGTGCTAAATTCAGTTCGTGAAGCAGAGAAGAGCTCTGTATTGCTGCAGTCTGGGCTTCAGTCCAGGGGATAAAGTAACTCTTTTTGGCAAAGTAACACACAGTTTAATGTCACACCTCCAAAGGCCGAATTCTTGAAGCCAGGTTACCGTACACTGGTCACATTTTATCCCGTTCCCACAATCCACTGAAAACCAGTGTCAGTTACGCTAGCGCACTGATGTATTTTTGTAACAAGATGTTCACGAACTTTGGCATGTGAAATTTACATTGTAACAGATGTGCTTAAAGACTAACTGCGCATTAGTTAAATGGTGACGTTGTTTAGTGAAGGGAAACAGAAAACAGTTCAAAGGAAAAGTGAATACCAGACGCTGAATACACATTCCTCAGTGATCAGTTGAGATAAATCTTACATTTACTAACTCTTTAGCTTCAGTTAAATCAATGTTTTGTAACTGTTTTTCAGGTTGGATACCTGCTTTAATATACTTGAATTTAATATATAATAATAATAAAAAACATACAGTATTTATTCAGACAATTATTTTACGATATAAAGGTAGGTAGCATATAATTATATAAATGTATGTGTGTGTGTGTGTGTGTTATAATATTTTCTCTATTTTTTATTTAATATATCATTTAATATATATCTATTCTGAATAAATAAAATCTAAATAATATACAACATTGTACATTTCATATATATATATATAACAATAAGAATACATACAGTTTATTAAATAATAATAAATAAAATAAAATATTTGTCATGAATATGTATGAATACATACAATTTGTTAAATAATAATAAATATAATTAAATAAAGTATTTGTTATCATACATTCTTTTTAGAATTCTGACTGTAATAACTGTTGTGACATCTATAGAGAAAACTGTCACATTTAGACATGTATTGTTTAGAGCATTTTCCTTCCAGATTTTAGTGAATGACAAATTACCTCTATTAATAGGAAATGGAACCTAGTGAGTCAGCCATCTCTGAGTAACCTGACATGATAGCTCATCTATTCTCCGCAGAGAACGTCCTTAGCACATCATTTACCACCAAGGGACATTTTTTGAACATATTTCAACATATTTTGAACCAGATTATTGCTGTGTCTTATTTATTTATTTCATAATTTGTACTCCTTTATTATGAATAACCATAACCACTAATCCACAGGTTCAGTCTAGTTTGAGTTTTCAATTCTGAATTTGCAAAGGCACAAGCTATTACAATGCATATGAGTCTGATGCTTTCTCTAGAGAGGCTCTTGTGTTGTGCTGGGAAGCTCCTGTAGTGTATATCTGTCTGTAGAGTTGTAAACTTTAGTTGCTCTTGCATGTGTTGTTTTTGAAAGGTTACACATGATATGAGGTCTCTGAGTGTTTCTAAACAAACATGCCTAAACTGTTCAGTTTGATCTGTCCTGTGTTGTTCCTGCTCTTGCTATATCTATGAAACATACGTCACTCTCGCAGTGTAAATATTTGATGCAGGTCTCTGTCGCCAATCACTTGAGCACTCTTTGATGTCCGCAATCGATTTTCCTGTCCTGTGGTATGTCACACTTTGCTCTTGTGATAACCCATCCTCCAATCAACACTTTTGAAAACCGTTTTCAAAACATAGACCAGGTACATTCACCTCGGCCATCTAAGAAAACAGTTTGGCTCAGAAATATTGTATAAGATTTTTTTGTGGATGTCATGTGACGATAAGATTGGAATATCAATGTAATGCAGTTATGATATAAAAGTAACCATAAAAAAATATTATTATTATTATGCTTATATAATAATATTATACTTAGAATTAT